ATTATTACATTCTGTAATATTTTTCATAGACCTTAATTTATTGCTCGTAAGTGTATAATACATCGACTTGGATAATAGTTGGAGGGGCTAGGACTTACCTCGTGGAGGCACCTGCACATCCAGCTATTGAGTATAACTAATGTCCAAGGTTTTCTTACATATTTTTACAGTTTCTTTATTGCGTAGATAAGTTTAAGAGGATATTGATGTTGTTTAATGAGTTTTTGCACACCGTGCACTTCAAGTTTTTGAACTCGGACAACTGTTTTTGAGGTAGCGGGGAGAGGGTGAGAGGGAGGATAGTGTTGCCAGAATATAATGTTACATGCGTTCAAGTTGCCTTTTGTGTGCGACGAGAAAAATACTTAAAATAAATATTAGTAATTAATAAATGTAACAAATAAATATAAAGGAAACTGAAAATTATACATAACAGCGCAGCCAACTTCGGGGGGCCTAGAGGTTTCCTCTACATTGTAATCTTAAACAGTACTTAATACTAGAGCGGTTACTATAATTATTTTTAATGCGAGAGTTTTTTAATTATTGAGAAGGTAATGGACAGAGCCTTGTTAATGGACGTATATAAGTCCCAGTAGAAGTTTTAATTTTAGCAACACGAGTTATACCATCCTTGCCGGGAAAAACCTCTTTGACTACAGCAAGATACCGAAACATAGAATGAAGATTATCATCTTTTAATATTACAAAGGTCCCTACACTCACAGGTTTGGTGGGTGTATTCCACTTGTTACGTTGTTGAAGCGAAGTAAGTTACTCCATACTCCAACGTTTGCAATTACTTTGAACTATCCTGTTTAAGAGCTGATAGCGGTTGAGTCTATTGTCAGAGAGTGTAGAATCAATATATTCTGCGGGTCAAAATTTTGACGGAGTTACAGTTAAGAAATGACTTGGCGTTAGAGCGGACAGATCTGAAGGATCGGACGAGAGAACACAAAGTGGGCGGCTATTCAACAAGCTTCCATTTTGATTTAAATTTGTATTAAATTTCTCGTATGTAAGAATTTGACTTCCGATAGCTTTATATAAATGTGTCTTTACAGATTTGACAACAGTCTCACACAAACCATTGAAATGCGGACCGTGAGGTGGGCTATGCTTACATTGAATTTTTTGTTGAATGAGATGATGAATAATATAATTCTGAAAAACAGTGGACTGTATAAGAGAGTAATTTCATTTAATTTGCGTTTGGCGCCAATGAAGTTGGTGCCTCCATCGCTATACAAAATTGAAACTGGACCTCTGCGTGAAATGAAGCGTTTGAATACGGCAAGGAACAAATCTGTACTTAGATCCGAAACTAATTTGTTGTAAGACAAACGAATAGGAAAATATATGCTTTATGACTTTTAACTCCACGACGGCGAATACGTGTGATATAAAAGGGTCCAGCGTAATCAACAGCGGTGTGTACGAAAGCTTTAACTTGAGATAATCTTATTGAGGGAATGTCACCCGCTGGTGCTTAAATTTCTAGCGGGAAGGATCCAATATTTCTGACGAATTAAAGCAAGTAATAAAGCGGGACCTGTGTGTAAGTTGGATACGTGATAATGATCAACCAAGAGCGAAACTAAGCGACTTTTGCTGGCAGCAACATTGGATGCTTCCGGTTGAAATCTAAATGAGAATGAGTGAGTCTACCACCTACTCTTAATACTTTTCTATCGTCGAGAAAAGGATTGAGTTTGAAAATTACTTTATTTGGACAAAGTTTATTATTTTTAATAGCGTGAATTTCCTGAGAAAATGCGTTACTTTGTAAAAAGCGTATTGCGTAATGTTCTGCCTGATCTAAATCAGTTACAGTGATAGGACCACGGGAGTTAAGTACCTTTGTAAAACGAAGTACATAGACAAGAGAGCGTAAAAATTTGATCCACGACGAACAACGTTCAGCGAGATTGTGAATAGCGTGAGTGTTTGCGTTTGAAATTGGTGTAAGTAGCGATGTAGGAGTACCATCAAAACCTGTGAGTTGAAGCG